TAAAAAGAATAATATAAAAATGATCAAAATGCCTTGTGATATAGCATGTCACACTACGTAAAAAACAACAATTTCACAAAAATTAAGGCTTGCCAAATTAAGGGTTAAAAATTCATAGTAGAAAGTAAAAAATATTAATAAGTAAAATTGTATTTAAAGCAAACTTACTTTATGATGTAATCCGTGAATGGCAAAATGAAAATAAATCATGGCTTTCGAATGTCCAGACGGTTCTATATGAAATACCCATCTATGTAAACTGTATTCAATAAGGGTCCACATTATAACACCATTGACAAAAGCTAATACTACTGGCACATGTGGACTAGCATCTAGAATGCAGAAAAAAAAATATGTACGTTAAAATAAATTCACCATTTTACAGATTATGTATATTGTAACAATTGTAAAAACATTTAAGACGACGAAATTTAATAAACAATAAAACAAATTAATTAAATCATTATAAAAATCATAACCAAATTTTAAATAACAATGTGCGACATCCAAAATCGATACAGTAGAGTCTCACAAACCTGGCTTAATGTGAACACGAAGGTGTCCGAGTTAGTAAAAATGCCGAGTTATCGGGAATAATAGGTTTAACAGGTTCACTGTCCACAGACCACATATGGTCACAGAACATAAGCAGTAGTCACAGAACATATTCTGTGGTCTATTCGTCGATGCAATGGACCACAGGAGTGATGACGTAGATTTGATTGACATCTGTCAGTTTCACTTTCCAAACAAACCTTGTTTAGTGTGGATAATTTGTATTTTTTGTTATTTTTTCATTTATTTTATAGAATCTTTCCGCTTTTTGCAATATTTAAGTATTCTAATAGTTACTACAACAATTTTACAAGGTTGTGTAAATAATAAAGCACATTGTTTTGTGCTAATAGAAATAAAATGCAAGTATCAATAAAGTAAGGTTAAAATTTCTTTAATTAAACTTTTAAACCATATTTCAAAGAAATAGAACTCTGAATTATGATGGTATTATCGTAAAAAACACTATACTTACAAGAAAAAGCAGCAGAGGAAGCAAAATGTTAACTTTATAGGAATTAAAAAGTCTGTAGATTTGACATTTCAACGTTTGTTTGGAAAGTAATAATAGTCGTGACGTCACACTCCTGCGGTCCATTTTCAGGTTGTATTTCAAAGTTGACGTAGGGAGAATCGCCTTTATTAGACGTGGATTTGACAGAACATATCTCATATATTATAAATAGTGTTGGAACCATCGAGCAAAAAGACAAAAGAGGGAATCTAATCGTTATGAAAAGGAGACCAAAAAAGTGGCCTCTGATGGCGGACATATCCGGAAATGCGAATGCGCCAAATTTTAATTTTCCGACACAAATATTTTTGAGAATGGTTCTTAGACGAGAAACTTTAAATAAATATTAAAGATACCAGTCTAAAATGTGACACAATTGTTGAAATAACTTCAATATAAATAAGATTTTATATGACAGTTGGGACAAACAATAACATAACCCAACTAAATTTGATTTCTTAAACAAGGAAAGACTCTCTTTCCTTGTTTATAATGTGGCCTCTCAGGATGGCACTTCCTGTCTAATAATATTTTTGCCCCCACTACCTTTACATTCCCTCTTTTGTCTTTTTGCTCGATGGTTGGAACACAAAAAAAAAATGTGTAAGTTTATCGTAATTTCAATAAAATGTAACATCGAAACTATATTTTATTGCGTTTTCACTTTAACGAACTAAATAATGGATATATAAGATAAAATATGTAAATATTTATTGAAAAAGAAAAAGCATCGAAAAAAAAGTTACATGTTTAATGTACTTTTTGGAAACATTGTAGATAATACGGTTTGATACAGATGTTTCATATTTGTGAAACTGTTTTGGCTTTACTAGTGGCAGCTGCTGATGTTTCTTCTTTTTGACGAAATTTATTATAGCATCCGGCATACCTACGTCTAGTAATTTTTCCATCTTTCTATCCAGCGGTTTAAGAAAATGCTGTACTTGTGACGTGTACGGCGTAGGTGTGGCAGGTGTCTGGACGACGTTAATACCCAAAAATTTGTTCACAATACTCATTTGGACCTGCAATATTGTACATTTATTTTGCTGGTTCAATTTATTGAACAAATAAACTGTATTTATGATACCCACTCTAAACAAAACATCGACAGCCACTTTTTTGTACCAGATCAAGGTCTTGCGAATTGGTAAATAGTAGCTAGCCAATTCGTCAGAAAGATCGATACCTTTTTTTCGATTATTGTATTTCAATATCATATTAGGCTTTGAACGCGGATTTCCACCTGTACTCATCGTTTGTTCATCTACCTGACAAGTAGATATCATAAGGACGTCCTCTTGTAGTGCCATTTTAGGATCGTCACACAATTTTTTCGTGCATCAATTTGCTCTCCTCGCTTCAGTTTCTTGAAGTGGAACTGTATTCAGCATTCTTTTGAAGCAAGTATTCAGCTAATGGAACACTGGTATACCAATAATGTGCAACAATCATTTTCCCCCGGTCTAAAAGTTCTTCACAAAGCTCGACAATTTCGCTTTCAGGTTATCAAGATTGGAGATTTAAGGATCTTGGCCAGAATAAACTTTACATTTCCAAATATATCCATCATCAATTGTGGCTTTGTAAATCTTTTGTCCATAAGTTTTGGCGCAACGTAATCTTTTGGCGAAAGAAACTTTCTGCAGTTTCTCATTACAATGTTTATAAATGGTTGGATTTTGTACAAGCGATTACTGGTATCTCTTTTAATTGTATTGTCAACAAATTGCTTCTTCTTCTTCTTCTTCTCGTAGCACTACAATCCGGGGTGGGTCTTGGCTGACTGTACAACTTGCTTCCATTTTGAACGATCGCCCATAATAGTTGGGTCAGTGAATAGCCCCATTGTTCTTAAATCTGACCATATATTATCTCTCTATCGCATTCGTGGACGTCCTAAGGGCCTTCTTCCTGTGGGGGCTTCCTCCCATATTAACTTGGCAAGGCGGTTATTAGGGAGTCTATGGCATGGCCAGCCCATCTTGACCTCAGCATTTGTTCTCATTCGGTATTGGTTGCTATTGATGTCCAAAACAATTCCAAAACAAGTCAAAAAAATAATGTCAAACAAATTGTTATTGCTAGCAGTGTAAAATTGTTATGAAGCGTTTGTAGGACTGTATCTGGTGTGTATCTGGTGCAACAAAGAATGATAAAAAATAGGATCTTTTTTTCAGTAGCATTTTAATGTAGGGAATCTGATTATACTAGTCAGCTAGTAAATGCCCAAAAACTTTCCCATTTCTTCCTTGTTTACCGGTTTCCAGCGACTCAAACGACCTCTAGAATTCTTTGCAATAGTTGTTTAGCATGTAGATTGGTTTGTTCTATCACCAACTCAAAGAAATCATCATCAACTAAAAGACGAAATATTGCAAACACATCTGAGTTTTCTGGAATGCTTTCAGTATGTATATAATTTTCTAAAATTTGACGATCTAACAGGTGCATGTCGATCCATTTTTATCATCTTGTTCTTTCATTTGACGCTCTGTAGTTGTTATAATTCCAGTTCTCAAAGCTGTATTTACTTCAATATCTCTGTTGTCGTCAGAATCGGAATCATCCATACTTTGTTCAATCGCATTCTGCACGTTAATGTTTTCATTCATTACCTGATTATCTCGCTGACTTGAACGGTCAGGTGACAAATCGTCATGAATAAAATCGTAATCTGCTACACTATCATCATCGTCAAAATCAGTACGGTTGTCGGTTATATTTTCTTCATCTGATGAATTTGACTGACTATATTGTTCGTTATCACTCTCTTCTAACATTCTCCACAACATTTCTTCTCCATATAGTCTCATTTTTTACATATATTGCCACAACAATTTCAATTTACAAAAAGCACAAAAAACACATCTGTTTTGTTTTGATTTTCGACTAATCTCATAAACGTCATTTGTCAATCAAGTAGCTAATTTCACGTATTTTGTTGTCTTAGAACATAAAGAAGACCTAAGTTTATCTTAATTGATGAGTTGTCTATGCCATTTCTTATTTAACACAGGAAAAATGGATAAAATGAGGAAAGTACGCATATACCACATATATGGCCTGTGAACTCCCAGTCAACTTTTGGTCATTTTTGTTCTATAGAGTCTACAGTTCATATGTAAACAAAAACGATAGAAAAAAAATGGTGTTTTGGATGCAATTAAAAGAATTATAGCGCTAAAATAAAACTAAGCAGGCCATGTTGACAGAGCTAGAGACGAAAGATGGACCAAGAAAATTTTAGATTGGAGACCTAGAAACTGTGCTTATTGTAATCTAGAATGTTCTCCAACAAGGTGGTCGGACGATATCAAGCGTATCCTCTCAACTTGATTCAGGGTGCTCAAGATCGGATGCAATGGAATTGGCTACGAGATGTCTATGCTCAGCAGTGGAGTTAAAGCGACTAATGATGATGATCGCAGAAACAAGAAGACTGAGAAGCATAAGTTTGGCAGATCTTCACTCAAGATCCAGTCAATATACGAACCAATTAGGTAAAGGCCAAGATTTATGTAAAAGCAAAAGAATATTCAGATAAATCATATATAGCTAAGGACGAGAAAAAATATATTTTTCCTTACAAAAAAAAAAAAAAATGCTCACCATGTATTTCCTACTTATTATGTGATTACGTTTTTAAGATAAACGGTATTACTAAGTACAAGATAAGGATAAGATTAAATAATGTTTCCTTACCTTTTGTAATTTGTATGTAATGGCGTGTTCCTTCCATCACAAAATAAATACAAACAGGTATCCACACCATAGGCACTAGATACCAAGGAGTTATCGTCATACTCTCCAAAATAGGATTTCCGAATATTCTAAGGTGTCTGTCCACCGGTGATGTCACCCATTCGTAGTATTTGGTTCCCAAGGAACCAACCTGGCTTAACATGGGCTTGTCCCAATTTACCAAATTCTGAAAATGATATAAGCATGTAAGCGCGTTGGATTACATTAGTAAAGTAAACTTTATTAAGATGAGATTTTATACAATTTGCTAAAGTAATACAATAAAAATTATGTCAATATTTTACAATGAAAATAGCCCCCAGGGGTCGATGAAAACGTGCAAAGGGTGTATGTGGGCGAAAAAACAAATTGGGCGTCTTTGGTATGAAATACAGATGGTGTCAATGGCCAAAAAATTTTAAAAATTACAAACAGTATTATGGATATATTTTCGACATAAAAAAAAATACAAAAATTTAATGTAAATAATATAATAATATTGTCGGTTGTTTATGAAAATATTTAGTATTGAAGACCCAAGTGCATAAAGGATCTATGTAACATTTTTTAAAAAAATCAGTTTTAGGCTCACTAGGTCTGTTTTAACCCCTAAATTTGCTTCATAAGATTTACTTGGCTTAAAAACGTTTAGCAACGATTTATTTAGGGGATAAAGGATCTATGTACCAAGCAATATTTTATTACAAAAGTGCATAAAAGATCCCTGCGCTCAATATTGTACATAGATCTTTTATGTCTGACCAAACGGATCCCTAAAGTTAGGTTATGTTGTTCTTTACATCTAAAATCGTACTGTGTACTTTTATAGTGAAAATAGTGAAATAAGTTGCGAACATGTCAGCAAGAAGTAGACTTTTACTTAATCGGGGACAAAAACAGCATAAAGGTATGTTGAATTAATAATAAATCTTGTTTTTTACTAAAATATGCTTCTTAATATTAATTTGAGGTTAAGAGTTTACCGGAACGGTAACAAAATACCTGCATAAAACTTGTTTTGAGCAATGTTTTTTATTGTTTAAAATTGTAGAACAACTTGATCAGATAAAAGAGATTAAGCATAACTTTATTGTCGTAGATATTGCCGAAACTTTACCTGAACAAGATAAAACTCCACCAAGAATCGAGAATATCGTGCATGAAAAGCAGATATCTTCACCGGAATTGGAAGATACATTTAACGGTAAATATTCATTCTAAAATTAAATTCTTTAAAGGTTTTGGTCTACAGACTACCTACCCTATATGTTTAAACAAAATTTTAAATTGTAGATTCTATATCTGAAGATGAAGTAATTTCTTCAGAATATACTTCAGACGACTGCAATCCAGATAGTACTGATTCAAGCGAAAGTTTTGAAGATTCTCATTGTGAGGATGAAAGTCATCCCGTATCAGTACCACATGTCACAGCAGAAGATTCAGTTTTAATTATAACTCAACATGAAAATACTGAAAATCTATTGGACAGGAAGGAAAGTCTTTTAATATCTAGACATAATGTTACGAGAAAGGTATTCTAGAAAGGTTATGAGCAATTTAACAAGTTTGATAGGGAAACAATATTTCGTAAGTTTTACGCATTAGATCAAAATGCAAAAAACTTAATACTTTTTAAATCTGTTTCGATTATGCCAGTTAATCGCCATAGAAAAAACATTAGTAAAAATAAATCATATACATTTGGTTACACAATAACGTGTCAGACACGTATCAAAACTGTCTGTAAGACTGCCTTTATCTCCCTTTACCAAATATTAAATAAAAAGGTGCTATTAAAAAAAAAACTCATTCAGAATCAATTAAAATCAGGGACTACAGCTCCTTCACCAGATAAAAGGGACCATCATAATTCTAGACCAAATAAAATAGAAAAAGATGTGGTTGATGCTGTAAAAGGACACATTCTTTCTTTTCCTGCAGAACAGTCACACTATTTGCGAAACAAAAATGCCAATAAAATGTATTTGTCTCCCTTGTTAAACATAACAAAACTGCATGAATTGTATCAAGAATATGTTCAAGAAACTAAGATGGACAAACGGTTTTGTGTTTCAAAAAGTTTTTATACGCACATTTTCTCATCAGAGTTTAATTTGTCTTTTGGCCAGCCCAAAAGTGATACATGCAGTATCTGCGATGCCAATTTAGGGGATGACCACAAAGCCACAAAGAAAAAAATTAAATTTGCTTTTGAGCAACAAAAGTCGATAGAGAACGGGCACATAATAATAAAGAAAATATGCTATTTAACCATAGACCTACAACAGACCATGCCTTTACCACGCCTTACTACTTCTAAGGGATTTTATTTGAGGGAGATGTGGTTCTATAATTTTGGAATCCGCTGAATAACGTCAAAGGGTGATAAAGCCTACTTTTTTAATTGGACCGAAGATGTAGTAACGAAGGGCAGTCTTGAAGTTGGCAGTAGCTTGCACACATTTGTTCAACTTTTAACAAGCAGAAAGAAAGAAATAAACCATCTTCTCATATGTCTGACTCGTGTGCAGGGCAGAACAAAAATTTTAACCGAATATGCCTATATCAGTACTTAATTTTAAAGGGATACGTGAAGATAATAGACCATAAATTTCCAGAAGTAGGACAGGTAGAGATTTTTGAATAATTGAAAAGAAATTACGAAAAGTTGAGACCATATATGCCGCAGATCAATGTAGAGATATTATAAGAGAATCAAGTAAAAAAGGTTCTGTTATTATAAAAATGACCGACCATTTTAAAAATATAGCAGACATAGAAAATAAATTACACTTATTAAATAGAAAAAAGAATTGCTGTGGAGATAAAATAATTTTAGAGATGATATCAAATGGATACGTGTGGATAGCTACGGTGAATATCACTACAAAAACTCCTTAGATCCAAACACGCCGTTCTTAAAAGTGGATATAATAAAAAATGTAAGGGCGAATTCAGGAGAAGGTTTTTGTATTAAAAGTTATACCAATCAAAACGAATACTCTGTCCGTTGAAAAAATTAATAATTTAAAACAACAACTTTGTTTTATAGAGGAAACTTATAGACATTTTTATACTCGTCTATGGGAAAAATAAAGAAGGCGCAGAAATCAAAAATGAAATAAATAAAAAAATAAAAACAAGAAGAGCGAATTATAAATAACATTTGGTTTTACATCGTTTTATTGTTTCTTGTATCCTTTATGCGTTTTGAATTAAAAATGTTTGCCTAAGTTACTTAGGGAATAAAGGATTTATGTACATTTCTAATTAAATATTTTTCTTTAGTTGTGAATTATTATTGTTAAATTATCATTATTAAAAAGTGTACTTAAGGTCTAAGTTTCTTCAAGATTGTATCATTCTAGGCTTATTAATAAAAAAGTTCTAATTGTAAGTAAGTAAAGTAAAGTAAAAAGTAAAAAACTTTGAATTCATTTTACTTGAAAAGTTGTTTATGTTACATAGATCCTTTATGCACTTGTGTCTTCTTATTTTGAAATGAAAATATTTAGTATTTATTTTCATATTTTTACATTTTTTTACTATGTTTTACTGTACTATAATATGATCTAATTTAATAGTATATTCTAACGACATTGCTTTAAAATATATTGTTTGCTGTTATTTGGAAAAATCTCATGTTAAACTGGCTTAAACACATTTTGTTCAAAGAATTTTGTTCAAACAAGTTTGTTCAAAGAATTTGACTTTCTTGTGTTGTTTGGAAGTTATGTCGCCATTCAAAAGCGCATTACAATAGCCTTGATTTATTAGATGCACTTGTCCCATGAGCCACCCAGCGGTCAGAAGGTTATTTCTGACCATCTCAAAAAGATACTTGCTACCAAGACAGCCTACTTAAAACATCCAGTGTATCAGTTAAGTTCCCATTTGAGTTCCGCGCAGCGTCGGGAGTCGCGACGTGGTATCAACGCTAATCCACTGTCCACGAATACATCAATATTTCAAAAGGGGGTCGATTCTTTGTACAGATAACAGTAATAAGTAAAGCTAGTTAATTCTCGTAATTTATTCACAATGGATAGTTGCTATTTTTCGCTAATGTATCTACAGTCAAAATATCGGTTCTGCGTTGGTTTTCTGGTTTTTTTTTTAAGTTGTTTCTGGTCTTTATTCTATATTCATCTTCTTCTTCTTCAGCCTATGTTCGTCCACTGCTGGACATAGGCCTCTTCCATTTGCTTCCATCGATTTCTACTTTTGGCAATTCTCATCCACTGCTTGCCCGCGACTTCTTTGATATCGTCTGTCCACCTCTTCTGCGGTCTGCCTACTCCTCGCCTGTTCTCTCTTGGGTCTCCAGTTTGTTAATCTTTGTGTCCATTTTTCGGGATTATCTCGGGCAACGTGTCCGAACCATTGCCACTTGAGCCTTGCAATATGTTCTGAGAATCAGTAATTTTTGTTCTTTCACGAATGTGAAGTCTAAAACGTTAATTACAAAAAACTTTTATCATCCATTAACTTCGAGTTTTTATCGATGTTAATTAATTTTTTTCATTTAAAAAAACGTTTTTTTGGCTTATTTCAGATGCCCCTGAAGATGCTGTAGCTAGCGAAAGTACTTGGGCAAGAGTTAATTTTTAAAATTGTGCTCGATATTTACCTTTCATTTTTTCAAAGTTTATTTTATTCGAGTATTCAACCGTATATCAAAATCAATAAACTCAGACCAAGGACTTAAACAGTCTAAAGATCGTAGTGCGTGAAAACGTTCATCTGAGATTTATTCGTAACTATCCCTCTCGACTAAGCCTGAAAATTTCAGCTGTATTGCGGATTCCGCACTAGAATTCTTATACCTCGCAGCCAGAATTGGGTTTGTTTAAAATTTAAAGTCATTTACGGATGGATGGATGATTAAAATATAAACCACATAATAATTCATATCAGGTGCATATCAATTCATAATCAGGTGATTCCGTTTCAAAGAGGGAATCCTGATTTGAGCTGGGCTTACAATACAAACTATGAAGAATATAAGTATTCTCCTCTACACTAATCTACACCAGTGCTAGTTATTCATTGTTAGTTATTTCTCGAGTCATTAATTGACAAACGTTATAGAAATGGAATCAGGGGAGTTAAAACATATCCCGGGGCGGACATCGGTTCCGACCACAATCCTGTTGTTGGTAAAATTTCAATTAAACTAAAGAC